AAGAAGGAGGGAGGGAAAGGAGGGAGGAAAAGAAGGAGGGAGGGAAAGAAGGAAGGAGGAAAAGGAGGGAGGGAAAGAAGGAGGGAGGAAAAGAAGGAGGGAGGAAAAGAAGGAGGGAGGGAAAGAAGGAGGGAGTCCTGTCTACTCTCTTCCACTTGTCAGTGGAGCAGACAGAAAGTATCTGAGATGAAATATCTGAGCAACAATGAATGCAACAGACACACAGCACCTCAGGAATAAAGCCATGTTTGCTTTATTATAAAATGTCTAAAGATACATGTCATAATACCCAGTACTATAAAACATGGTATTTTCTTTATTTTGGAATAGGGCCTGACTTTGTAGCTCAAGATGGTCTTAAACTTATATAGGCCAGACTACCCCTGACTTCCTGAACCCCCAGCACAGCCTTCCAAGTGCTATGACTGATCACACCTGTGTGCCACCACGCCCAGCAACACTGTGAATCATGATATCCAATATGAGTAAAGTACTTGGAAAAACATAAAAGACACAAAGCCAAACTCAGCAAGAGAATTGTTCAGAAAGGAACATACTGCCCCAAAACAAGGCAGTGAATCAGAAACTACTAAAAGGCCAGTCCAAGGAAAGCAACATTCTTGTTTAAAAAAAAAAGTAAAAACTTAAACAAAATCCAAGTAAAAAGTTGGGAATACTCAGGTTTCAACAGCAAGTATTATGGCTAGTGAGAGGGCTCAGCGGTCAAGGTGCTCACCACAAAGCCTGCTGACTTGAGTTCAGTCCCTCGAACACACTCCTGAAAGTTGTCCTCTGACCTCTACAGGCATGTGGCAGTCACACATACACTCTTGTGCGCGCACACGCACGCACACACACACACCACATTTAAAAAATAAACATTCTGCCATCATCACCACTCTCTAAAGCTCTAAAGCAACAGAACTCACAGGGGCAAAGGCGTCCTGAGCAGAGAGAGGCCGTAAGCTGTGCCGTTCCTAGTGAAGGGGGCATTCAGAGACTGTCCCAGGCCAAGCACAGAGCTCTCGTATGGAAGAAGTAAGCACTGTGTCTTTCAAAATCTACGAAATTCTGAATGCCTGCTCCTAAGGTATCAGAAAAGAGGCTGAATCATTACTAGAGAAAAGTAAACAGGATAAAGCGAGTGTTCAACTCAATCAGTGAATCTTAAAAATGCAAAAAGGCAAATCCCAAGGGTGACTCAATTTTAAAAACACAGACATGGAAATGACACTGGACAAAGTTCAGCATCGATATTTGAAGTCTTAAAACCAAGACTGGAAGGAGCTATCACAAGACGATAAGACACTGTGTGGCAAAGACACAGGTAACAAGGCGCACAATGAAGGCGTTCTCTCCCAGAACAGAACCACAGCGGCTTCTTTCCCTCCTGCTCAGCTTATCACAAAGCTCTCACTGTGTGCAGTGGGACTGTGTGCAGAGGTCAGTTACATAAACAAGAGCAGTCATGCTATTACCTGCAAGGCCTGCCTCACATCACATACGGACTCCAGACTCATGAAACTACTGGAACCCATGTGGGAAGCATATGCAAAATGTGCAATACTAAGAAAAATATTAAGGAGCCGGGCAGTGGTGGTGCACACCTTTAATCCCAGCACTTGGGAGGCAGAGGCAGGCAGATTTCTGAGTTCGATAGTTCGAGGCTAGCCTGGTCTACAGAGTGAGTTTCAGGACAGCCAGGGCTACACAGAGAAACCCTGTCTCGAAAAAAATACAACAAAAAAAGAAAAGAAAAGAAAAGAAAAAAACAAGAAAAATATTAAGGAAGGAATGTATGACATTCATCTGAAAGGACTGCTTAAATTAAAATTGTTAGGGTTTCCAAAGAAATCTCACAAACTTCAGTAATGACATTGAAGGGGGAAGGCCATCCATGGCTCACAGAGTTCCCTCACAGAAAGGCTACCGTTGGGCTCAGTGTGGGGCAGGAGGCAGAGACCAATGGGAACCTGGCATGGTGACAACTGTGTATCTACTCAGACTTGGTAAAGTAGGATAGTATGTGACCCACAAGCTATCAGGTCATGTATCAGTTTTTCTATTGACAAAGTTGAGAAACCATACACAAAGGTGACTTCCAGACCTTATGGAACATAAAAGACACTTCAAAAATGATAGAAGCCACCTCAAGGAGGGGTGGACACACTGATGGCTACTATAGCAAAGATGGCCCCAAAGGCACTAAGCTTAATGGCACAAGATGTCACACTTTGCATGATTTCTTTCATATGAAATACCTAGAATGGCCTAGTCAGTCGAAAAGGTAAACATTGTCAGGGCCTGGGAGCAGGGAGGGAGGTGGGGAGAGATGAAAAGTTCTAGAATTAAGATACTAGTGATAGTGGCATACCTACATTAACACAACAAAAACTACCTATTTAATTTTAACTGAGACTTTAAAAGACTCAATTTTGTGCTGTGTGGCTAGCTCAGCAAGGTGTCTTCACAAACAAACTAAAATGGCACTTTCATGTCATCTCGGGACTAAAGCACACAGGTGTTGCATCAACTGCAGTAGAACTCAGTGTATCAATAAAACATCAGTCCAGACAGGGTCATACTTCAGCTGGCATACGCAGGGCCTGGGTTCCATTCTTAGCACCACGACAACAAGTAACCACCATGGGTTAGGCCAGAGAGACGGCTAAGCAGTGATGGACTTTCGGCTCTGTTGTTAACACCAGAGCTTGGATCCCAGGGTCCATGCTGAGCGGCTTCCAAACGTCCGCAGCTTTAGCTCTAAGGGGCCCAACAGACACCCAAACATACAAACACATTTGCATATTCTCTCTCTCTTTTCCCAATCTCTCTCTCTCTCTCTCTCTCTCTCTCTCTCACACACACACACACACACACACACACACACACCCCTAATTTTATCAAACTGAAACAATTTAAAACTACCTCATGTGCTGTCTCCTCCTGGTTCTCTACCACTGAGCTACACCCCAGCCCATTTATTATTAACATTTAAATCTTTTTTTGGGGGGGAGGGCTGCTTTGGATTGACTCTAGCTCCGGCAGGGCTTGCTCCTGAGACCCATCTGACACCTCCTGAATAGCTGGACTCCTATGCCCCGTCCTAGCCTCTTGGGGCTTCTGTAAATGATGCATGTGATGCTCTTGACTTTAATAAAAATTGTTGAAAAAAATAATAGACAGTGAGGGTCAGTAGATCGTACATGTGTGAAACAAACACAATTTTAAGATAAGCATGAGACATGTTCCAGACTCTGTCTGTCTGTCTGTCCTCTAATTGCATAAAGGAGAAAACTAAAGAGAGGCCTAGCACAGCGGGTGGGGTGCTACAACCCCAGTGCTGGGTTTTGTGCAGACAGGAGGATTGCTGGATCAGGCAGCCAAACCAGAAACCAATGACAGCTTTTCATTCAGTGAGACACTGTCTTGGGGGAAAAGGGCAAAGAGAGGCAGAGAAAGACACTGGACCAAGGGCCTGCAAACATTTGCATATGTACACACTGGATGTGTGGATCCGCCTCCCACTTAGGGAGAGAGACAGAGAGAGGGTGAGGAAAGAGAGAAAGGAAGAGAGGGAGAGAGGCCAATATAGGACAGAGACCAAATGTTCAAGCCAACAGATAAGACTACAAGGAGTCTCTGAGTGGCAGGACTGGAGAAGGACAGAGGTTCAAGGAAAAAGAAGAAAGAAAGAAAACCCTATTGGCTAACGTGAGTGAACAGAGGAGATGAATAGCCCTGGAGAAAGATGTGGATGAACTGCAGACTGCCAGAGAGAACTAACAAGTAAGCAAGAGGATGCACAGGAGAAAGAACACGGCCGCACAGCACTGGTCTCTTTAATGGCAACACAGCCAGAGTCAGAATTAGCAGGGAAGAAAGGAGCAAGGCTGAGCAGGCGGCATCGGGTTCCTCCTGCAGGCACCCTGGGTGCCGAGACATTCGAGGGCTACAGCATGCTGCTGTGTCTGCTCTGGACTACCTGTCCCTAGTCGGTACAAAGACCTGACCTGATAGAGAACGCTGTGGTCCAGTATTTAGTCCCACCACCAGTAGTAAAATAAAAACTCAGAACAAGGGGGAACCAAGAAGCAAGAGTGCAAGTTAGGGGAAGAAAGATTTGTTTTTTAAAGAAAAAAAAAAAGATAAGCCCAAATTAGAGTTTAGAAGATTCCCGTGCCATCCCTTGAAAATTTTGAAAACTACAGCGGTTACTCAAAGAAATGTCTTCATTTAACAGGGACACCACACATTTCCCAGGCTTTGGCCAACAGTTACCCGGAGACGATGTTGTAGTTGAGAGCGGGATGGTTCTTGGAGACCGGAGGCACAAGGGGCTCTGGTTGCCACTCTTCAATCAGTTCTTCCTTCTCCTACAGAAGAACAACCATCAGAGTGTGGTCCAGCACGGGCCACTGCAACCCTGCCACATTCAACAGTGAACCACAGAAAGCTCCCTGCCCTCCTTCCTGGGTTCAGGGTACTCACCTCCCTCCCCTTCCCTTATTACAGCTTAAACCTCTTTTCTAAGCAGTTTTTGAGTGAAGTGACAACTTAAAAATCTTACTTCTATGCTCAGGATTTCCTCTTCCCTGCCAAACAACGTATCAAAACTCCACTTCAGATGTACGTAGGTAGGATTATTTCCAACACCCACCGAGCCTCCTTTGTGAAAACACACGGAGACCTCTCCTCTGCGTCTCAGGGACAACTCACATAGCCTGTGTGTAGTCACTGAAGGACAGCAGCTGCACACGTGACCCATGACCCGCCTGAGCAGGCTGCTGTCTCCTCCAGTGTGGCTCACACTTTGTCTACTCTGAAGCTTCGTACCCCCTGCTCTCCCTTCAAGAAGCATTTTGATACACCCTGCAAGGCTGGGTTCCCTTCCTAATTAGATGTGGCTTCCACGTACCTGGAGTGAACGACACTTTATTCCTTACCTTGGCTGTAAGATCAGAACGCTCCTGCAACTTGTAAGTTTTAGAGAAAACGAGTCTGATTATCCAAAGTATTAAAATCCCTTCCAGAATCAGATGGTACGCTGGAGCCTGAGAGGGAGAAGAGCAAAGACAAAGTAAAGAAACCAAAGAAGCTATTTCAAAGCCTGCAGGGAAATGGAGCCCAACGATGTGCTACCACCCCTCCTGACCTTCACGTTCTTCCCACATAATCCTCACGGCCAGGCCTTCCTCAGCAGCTCCTCATGCCTTTCCCAGCTTACTGGCCATGACTCTAGCACAGGAAAACCCCTGACACTGTTAGCTTCAAAATCTCCCATTAATGGAAACAAACAAGATGTGGGACCTGACACACAATCACAACACTTAAAACAACGGTCTCTTATCTTTCAGATAATTTAAACTCTGATTGGCAGGAAATGACTGTAAGAGAACAGTACACACCTGAACACACCTTCTGCACCTCAGCCTGCCCATGGGCACCGGAACGCACCACCGTCTGCTACCTCAGTCCACCCACAGCTAAGTTAACTAAGCCATATAAAAACCAGCTTCCATAAGTCACAGTTTTACATGCCTCACTTATTTCCGGTATGCAGCTAAATCTCCTTAAATCTTAGACAGTGTAGTGGGGAGTGTGGGTGAGGTGGCAGTAACAAATGCTTAAAGAAACTTCAGTCTTCTGTTCTATAAGTTGCTTCCACGCTGAGAGGTATAAAGATAGCTTTATTTTCATTTGAAGTTATTAATTTATTTTTTATGTGCACAGTAGTCTATCTGTCTGTATGTCTGTGTACCTATGGCTGCCTGATACCTGCAGAGACTAGAATAAGATTCCCCTGGAACTGGTTTCAAATGGCTGTGAGCTACCATGTGGGTGCTGGGAATTGAATTCAGACCCTCTGATGGAGCTGTAAGAGCTCTTAACTGCTGAGATGGTCTCTTAGCTATTCTAGTATCTTGTCATCTACATATTTTCAGGATAGAAGCCTGGCTAAGTTTACATAGAAGAATCTAGACACCAATAACCCTTCAGTTAGTGCAAAATATTCTATTCCAGTGGGTTATTGCCAGAAAAATAATTTAAAACAGGCTTGCTAAGCTGACTGTGATGGTACATCCCTTTAATGGCCAGTACTTGGGAAGCACAGGGAGGCAGATCTTTGAGGATGGCATCCGTATTTGGATCCTATCTTAAACAAACAGCAATAAAGGAAACAAAATACAAACCCAGGCCTTTGTTTGTTTTGTTTTTGAGACAGGTCTCACTATGTAGTCATGGCTGGCCTGGAGCTTGCTCTGTAGATCAGAAGTGCTGGGACTAAAGGCATGAGCCACCATACCCAGCAAGCCCAGGCATTTAAAAGTTAGGCATGCTGGGGTATTCCTGAAACTGCAGGGGCATTTGGAATTCAAGGAGAGTTCAGGCTGCCCAGTGAGATTTTGCCTCAAAATACAGATAAACTTATTTACTTACTTACAAAGTTAAATACAAAGACAGATTAACAATAAAGGATGAGCCAGGCAGTGGTGGCGCATGCCTTTAATCCCAGCACTTGGGAGGCAGAGGCAGGCGGATTTCTGAGTTCGAGAGTTCGAGGCTAGCCTGGTCTACAGAGTTCCAGGACAGCCAGGGCTACACACAGAAACCCTGTCTCGAAAAACCAAAAAAAAAAAAAAAAAAAAAAAAAAATTGGCCCTCAGTACAAAACAGGAAAATCAAGTGTGCTCTCTCTTGATTAATCTTCATAAGGAAATTTCAGGTAGCTCTTATAATGGAGCATTATCATTACAGATTCCAGTATGCAGCAACTTTTGCAATGTTAGCAAAAGAACTGAAATTCACTTTCAATTAAGGTGACTTCTCTATGCACTGCGATCAATCTGCTTGCTCAGAGTATGATCTCCAAGTTTTGTGGTCCAATACAAACCACTAGTCATATTTGGTCAACGACATTTACACACTAAAGTGCAATTACAAATTCATTGCCACATGTGGCGTTAGCAACTGCTGTAATGATCAGCCCCTGAGAGAGATGACACAGATATGCTCTATAGGATAGAGCAAGAAGGCTCAGTTGTCCAATAAACCAGCATTCTCCCAAGACTGGTATTTGGATTTCATATTGTCTTACATAGCTTAATAAAACCACTCAAACCCTTCAACCTTTCTTTAAAAATCTTTCAAAAAGTTAAATGTTTAGAACATAGAAATTGTAGGCAAAGGATAGGCTACTCCTCATTCATCACTTCCCAATTATTCTGCTTTTCTAAACTACTCTGTCCGTGCCCTGGGCAAAGTTTACAACAGATGATAAGGCATTTCTCACACCTAAGACTTCCCACTCCCATTAACCCCGTCTCGCCATCAGTTCCAACCGTGGTTCTGAGGACTTGCATGTCCTCGGCACCCCACCCAAGAGCTGCTTTCCCGAGACCCTTCCGGGCTTCAGGAGGCAGGTACAGCCAAGACCCCGTCCGCTGTGCTCCGGGGGAGCAGGAAGCACCGCGAATTCGGGCGCAGGTCGCTAAGCCACGGCCCGCGGGCTCACAGGAGGCTCCGGTGGCGAACGCACCTCGTACAGCGCCTGCACCATCTCCACCAGCACCCATTGCTCCGCCACCGTCGCCATGGTCAGCCACCCGACTTCCGGCAGGCGGGTCACAGCGCGTCAAATAGTGTGCGACGCGAACTAGTGACGCCATGAAACTCGGGGGCGGGACTGCCGGAAGTAGGGCGGGGCCTCCTCGCGCCGGTGAGGTTCGGAACTCCTGAGATTTGTAGGGCGACACCCGGTGGACTTTGTGTTGAGAGAATTAGCCCGCGGCCTTTGTCCTGGGCAGTCGGCTGAGCTCAGGGTTATTAAGATAAACGAAATTAGGCCGGGCGTGGTGGTACAGGCCTTAAATCCTATTTGGGAGGCAAAAGAAGGCGGATCTCCTGAGTTCTATCTAGGCTAGCCTGCTCCACATGGCTAATTCCAAACCAGCCAGGGTAACACAGTTACATCCTGTCTCAAAATACAAACGGAAAAAAATAAAACATGAAGGAAATATATAATTCCCCTTTAAATAACAAGCAATCTGGTCATGCAGCATTATAAAAAATAGTCACAGAAATTTACGAAGTTTGATCCTCAGACAGGGGAGTTGGGGGTAGTATTTAAATAGTGTGAGTATGTCTAGTTATTTTCATGGTAAAGTATGGTCAAAAAGCTGCTACAAACGTTTAGATAGACTGGGCGGTGGTGGCGCACGGCTTTAATCCCAGCACTTAAGAAGCAGAGGCAGGCGGATTTCTGAGTTCGAGAGTTCGAGGCTAGCCTGGTCTACAGAGTGAGTTCCAGGACAGCCAGAGCTACACAGAGAAACCCTGTCTCGGAAAAAAAAAAAAAAAAAAAGTTTAGATAACAAATTTTGTGTGCATACCAATTTGCATTTCCTGAGACTTGTCCAGAAGTACCACTGACACAGCAATTTTACTGTGAAGAAGTAAACGATCTGGAGAGAGTTCAGTCAGTAAAGAGGGCCATAGCTCAACCCTCAGCACCCATACAGTACTGGGGGGGGGGGCCGCCCAGAGAAAACGAATCCCTGGAGTTCTCTGGGCCAGCTACCCTAACCCACTTGAGTTTCAGGCCAGAGATAGCCCCTTGTCCCAAAAAAATAAGGTACATGACTCTTGAAGAAGGGCACCTAAGGCTATCCTCAGGTCTCCATACACACACACACACACACACACACACACACACATCTGTACACACACACACACATCTGTACACACCCACACAAATATCCAATCTATTTCCCAGATGACTGTACCAGTTTTGTATTTAGCGACCGTATTCAATTTCTCTTCACTCTCACCAGGATTTATCACTTTTAAAAATTTTGACCAGTCTTACAAGTGTGTGTTTATATTTCATTTTGGTTAGATTTGTTAGTTCTTGGTTTTTTGGTTTTTTGGTTTTTTCGAGACAGGGTTTCTCTGTGGAGCCCTGGCTGTCCTGGAACTCACTCTGTAGACCAGGCTAGCCTCGAACTCTCGAACTCAGAGATCCGCCTGCCTCTGCCTCCCAAGTGCTGGGATTAAAGGCGTGCGCCACCACCGCCCGGCTTTTGTTAGTTCTTAATTAGATGGTGACACTGAAACTTTTTATATGTTTATTTGACATCAAATAAAGGTATTGGGTTCCCCCCCTCTTTCTTTCTTTCTGTCTTTCTTTCTTTTATTTTTTTAAAGATTTATTAAGTGTACAAGTGGTTTGCATGAAGGTATATGTATGTCTACCACAAGTATCTGGTATATGTGGAATCCAGGCATCAGACTCCCTGGAACCCCATATGGCTAGGAGCTGCTGTGTAGGTGCTAGGAATTCAACCTGCATCTTCTGCAAGAGCATTAAGTGCTCTAAACCGCTGAGCCATCACCCCAACCACCAAGTAAAGCTCCTTGGTGAAATGTCTATTTGTGTCTTTTCTCCATTCTCCAGTTGGATTATTTCTGTTTTGACTGCTCCGCTTTGAGAATCTCTTTTGTCATTCTAGATGCTAGGCTTTGGTTCGATATTTTGGAGAGTAAAACATTTGTATCTCCTGAAGCTTTTATGTTGAAAACCCGGATTTTATCGCAGAGATGCTATCATTTGAATGTCCCCTCCAAAACTCCCATCGAAACTGAATTGACGTTGTTAAGATGTTAGGAGGTAGGGCAGTGTTATGCATGAAGGCTCCGTCCTCATAAATGGATTACTACTATTGCTATGAGAACAGATTAGCTATCACAGTGTGGCTTTGTTCTATCCGCCAGTTCTCCTATGGCCTCACTTGTCATGTGACAGCCTCTGGCAGGTTGTGACACAGTGGGAAGGCTCTCACCAGGTCCTACCACCAAACTGGACTTTCAGGTTTCTTGAGTTATGGAAGTTCGGTTTCCTAGCTTCATAAACTCGTCTGCGGGGAGAGAATGGAGGAGGCTACGTAGTGTTAGGGGCTTTGGGAGGTGGGCAGGTCATGAGGGTAGAATACTCTTAGAAAATAGGCTCCAGAGAGTCCCCTTCCCCCTCCTGGCCCCAGACAGGCACCACTCTGCTTTATTTTCTTAAGAGTTTAGTTAGCCATCTTATACCTGGGATCATGTAGTATCTTTGTCTTATAACTGTCTTGTTGCACTTAGAATTATGTCAGTTTCAACTATACTAGAGTATAGGATAGTAGGCTGAGGAATGTCAGGTAGCCTCAATTAGTTTATAGGATCAATTTCCTTTCTCCTGAAAAAACTTGTTCAGCCAGCACCCAAGATTCCTGAAATGCTTCCCCATACTAATGAGTCATTCCAGGTACCCCAAGCTCCCAGCCAGTGACCTTTGTCCATCCTGCCCTCAGTCCCCCCAAGCTTTATAAGCCTTCAATCACCCTAAGTAAAGTTGACCTGCCTCCTGACAGGCGGTCCAGGTGTGGTCATTCACCATATGCACTCACACATGTACTCACAGGGCTTTCAAACCCCCTGTTTGACGTTTCTACTTCCGATGCCCTTGTGGACTGAATCAGCCAACTATCCCTGAAGAGTGGGAGACTCACATTCTCCAGTGTTAGAGAACGAGTTAGACGCACATCGATAGGCAAACACCTTACTACTGAGCTAACCATATTAGTTATTCTGCCTTAATACAATGGTATTTCTCCCTTAGTAGATACGCTAGTTACTTTCAACTTGCTGTGTCCAAGTACCTGGCAGAAGCAGTTGGAGGAGAGGTGGGCTGATCTTGGCTCACAGTTTGAAGGGATACACTGCACGTGGAGGGGAGAGCAAGGCAGCAAAGGTGAGAAGTAGCTGATGACATTGTGTTCACAGGCAGGAGGCAGGGATGAAAGCTGCTTCTTCCGTTGTCTCTTTCTATTCAGTTCAGGATCCCAGCTCCGCATGTTGTAGCATCCTGCCCTGATTCTCAAAGAACCATTTCTGTCTGATGAGGCAAAGTCCATTCATTGCAAATGTTCTAGAAGTAAAATGGCTGGCTCATGCGCTAACTCTGTTTTTGCATTTTAATGAAATGCAAACTTTTAAAAAAGTTACTGGGCCGTTTTGCATCCTCAAAACAGCATTTGAGGTGGACATATGTTATGTAAGCCATGTGTTTCTCCTCAGATCTACTGTATATATTCCATCCACTTATTGAAATCCTGCATTTTACAACTAAACCTATATAACTCCTGTGGCAAGAAATAAGTTGAAAACAGTATGTTTAAACACTTCATCAAATAGTTGATAGTTTGATAAATACTTAAGCTCACTGACATCTCTTAAATGAGTTCTTAGAATATTCCAGCATGCATCTACAGCACACACCCATGTGTTCACAGACATTGCTTTCTGGCACTGTTGAGTGTCCTACTAGAGGCAGGTATCCTGATGGACTGACTGTACATGGTGGGTCATGGTTATGTTTGCATTTCCATAATTACTACTGACATTGATCATCTTTTCCTGTACATTTTCGCTGAAGGAATCCCTACTAAATTCCTTTATTCAATTTAAAACTACACCGTTTATATTTTTTGTACCGTGTCTTGTTTGAATGTTCATAGTGAGTAGATATGCAACTTTCTTCAGTTTTGTTGAATTACTCTTAAAAAATCTTAGACATTCTTTACCTTTTGTTCTTCTGTTTCAAAATAGCTATTAAAATAGTTTAGATCTTCCAAGTTTATCTTATATGTTTCTCAAGTTTACAGTGTGCCTCAGTTCCCTTGCCTTCTTCTTCTGTACCACACACGATTGGATTGAGTCTCCAATTCATCTTTTAGTCATTTTTTATTATGATATTCAACTGTCAGATAGTTTTCAAAGGTTTAGGCTATATTTTTGTTGTCGAAAGGCCATGGTGTCTCTTTTTTATGACGTTCTATTCTTCTTTCATAAGATGACTTTCCCCTCCTCATCTGCCACCTAACCAATCTCTTGGGCACCCACAGTATGTCTGCCCGAGAGAAGAGGAAGGGAAAAATAAACAATGAATCAAGTATCTCTTCCTTCCTGAACGGTATACTCTCCCAGAGGACCAGGACACAAACATGATAGAATATATTCAGTCCCAGGAAATGCTAGAATGAAAACCACAAAGGACAAATGAGAAACTGACATCATTGTGGTGGACTGAATAAGAAGGTACACGATGGACTCATATGTTTGAATAGTCACTAGGGAGTGGTGCTATTTTAGGATTAGGACGTGTAGCCTCGATGAAGTTGGTGCGACCTTGTTGGAGGAAGTGTGTCACTGAGAGTGGGTTTCAAAAAGCCTACACTAAGGCCAGCATCTCCCTCTGTGCTCCCTGCCATGAGGATAATGGACTAAGTCTCTGAAACTATAAGCAAGCTCCCAACTAAGTGCGTTCTCTTCCAAGAGTTGCCTTGGTCATGTTGTCTGTTCAATGCAATAGAACAGTAACTAAGAGGCATCACAGAGCACATGATTTTAGAAAGGATGATCAAGAAATCCTTTCTGGGAAGCTGAGAGATGGAAGTGATTGGGCTAGCCCTGAAGATACCTAGTGGATCTTTGGGTCACTTTTACACTTCATGGCTCCAACACTTCTCAGTTTCTCTGTGGACTTTGCAGGTAGGAGAGACAGTAGCAGAGAA